GCCATTTCGGGCACTTGGGAAAGGCTGCATCAGCCCTATCCTCCCGCTCCACAGCATCCCAGTGCTGCCACGAGCAGCAGGATGGGGATAGCTGCTCATGACAATATTTCTCATTGTTGTTTTCCTCCTTCTGCTTTTTCCGTGCTGCTTTTTTACTTCTCCTGATTTATTTTAAGCTGTTTCTCTCCCTTCTTATTATTTCTACTTTTCCTTTTGCCTCTCTCTTTTCCTTCTGTTTTTTCTCTCTCCCTCAACACTTTCCTTCTGTCTCACCATCCCTTTCTTGCTCTTTCCCTCTTCTTCCCCTCCTGATTCCCCCATCAAAGCGAGGAAACCGTAACCCAAAGAACAAGAGTTGAACCTGTGCCAATGCAATGGGCCAAGAGGCTACATATGGAACCAGCAAATCACAGAGCCATGAAGGATGTTAGTGATTTAAAGTTATGTATATTGAAGTCTGGATCTTAAAATGAATCCATAATGGTAGAGGTAACTAATGGAGAGACTTAACTGACAGCAAGTAAAGTTTTTTTATTTAACATTGTTATATTCCCACAAACTCCTCTTTTCCTGTCCCCACCCTTCTGCTCTCCTTTCTGATTAGTTCAGCATCCACGCTGACAATGAAAACCTAAAGCTGCTTCTTTATGAATAAAGATTTTAGCCCATACACCATAAATATGAGTGCTACTCCTGCTGGATGCAGAGCAAGGCATCCAACTGGCTCGGAGAGCTGTGGGGCTCTCCCTGGGGAATCATGCCCATGGCAAGGGACAGTGAATGCTCCCAGCTGAGCAGGCACAGCAGCACGACTCTCCCTGCAGTGTGATAAATAACCTCCCGAGGACTCAGGCTTCAGCAGAGATGTGTTGCCAAAGCCAGCTGGTCCCCTGTGGCAGGTCAAACACCAACTGCACTGATTTGCTGAGATCATTAAGGATACTCAGAATTAAAATGCTGTGCAGAGGGAAGGATGTCACTCTACATGTGCATGCACATGCACGTAGAAATAGATGTGCATATGTGCACAAAACATTATACAAGGAAAAACCACAGTAAAACATTACTAAACTTGCAAACTCAAACACTCCAAAGGTAGGAAAAATCAAATACTGCTCACCTCCCCCCAGATATGCTACTTTTTATATACTAGCATCATGGTGGCACTGGGACCTGAAGCAACAGCTGAGGGGCAGGAGCTTCTGAGCACTCCTGATTGCACTTGAAAGCAGAGGGGACAGAACCCAAATACCTGCCTTTATTACTTAGTGTATATATACACCATATCCACCATATCTATATCTCTAGCATGTAAGACCTCCTTTGGCTTAGGCCACCTAGTACCCTCCCAAATTAGCCTCTGGAATAATATGGAAGCTCACTTGTCCAGAGAGTGTTTCTAATAAGCCATTTGCAAGCAGTCATTCAGTTTAGGAGGGCAGACCAGTACAGACAGGAGCCATTTTGTGCCAGTCTGTCCTAGAGATTGGGAGTCATCCCAGCACATTGAATTTTATTTGTGCAGCAGCACCCTGAAATTGCAGCGTAGTGTGCCATACTGAGAAAAATCATGTCTTAAATAGGTGAAACCAAGCATTCAAAGTGAAAACTCACATCTGAAGTTTTCAGTCTTGGTTCCCACACTGTGAAACATCATCCCATGCCCCTCAGGGACACATGAAGTGGTCTAATGAATGTTTGTGAAGCAGTTACAAACAACACTGCTGCAGAAAGCACATGATACCATGACTGTTTTAAAGAGCTTCCTAACAGGCTGAGAAACAAGGAATAAAGAAGGCCCAGCACCACACCAGTGCCAAGAAAACTAATTGTATCACCCATCCAGGGTGCTGGAACAGGGCAGGAGCTGCTCACGATACCATATGTGAGCTGATGAAAACTGGTACACGAGGCACACAAGGAGCTGAATGAGGATTACACGGGTGACCTGAACTCCAACAGATTCTTCAAAGTCCTTCCCTTGGCACCAATAATGTTCTTTAATATTATTTTAACAAAGGGTTGGGGGAAGTGGGACTTCTTGCAGTAAATTCTTTCTCACACTTCTCAATTAATATTCTTCCATCCAGCTTTTCCCAAAACCTATGGCTTTCAAAGCAAGGGAACCAGAAGAAATCCTTCCCTCTTCTCTCTGCTCGAGAAATCAGGAGCACAAGGGTTACATTTGCCCTAAAGAAAACATCCTTTTTGTTTTTGGCAATTTAGGATTTTCAAACTGCTGCACCTTCTTCCCTATGGCATTAAATTCCCCTTTGCATTCCACAATGCTGATTTAGGGAGAAACTTAAACAGATAAAAGTCCCTGGGGTGTACACACAACACCCAAGAGAGAAGGGCTGCATTTCCCCCTAGCTGCTGAACAACAGGGCGGGTTGGAGCTTGGCCACCAGCTACTGGCATTGCCACACTGAGCTCTGGGATGCTGGAAGAGCCAGTTCCAGTCCTGCTGAGGAATGACTAGACTGCGGGTTTTTCTTTTCCTCCAGGCTTCACCAGAGAAAGGCAAGATCCTGTCAGCGGTGGCGGAATATTGGCCAGATTATGGGGCATGTGGGTATAGCCTATATTTATTTTTTTTAAGTATATATTTGTTTGATGTTTTGCAAGCATCTGCTTAAGATTTCTGTGCTTATCTAACAGGAGGAAAGAGCCCATTCTTCCCGAAGCCAATTCAGTGCTAGAAATGTCATAACACTGCTGGGCCCCTTCGTTTCATCCTTCGCCAGAGGGACTCCATAGTTCCTCTGCTACTTCTTGGAAAGCCAAGAAGCAAAGGCTGGCAATTAAAGGCATCTGCTGGGCTCACGAAAGGAAAGGCATGCACAAGATATGAAGGATGGATGACACCTGAAATGTCTAAACTCTTGCCTGGCGCAGACTGGACTGATTGCAGCGTGTCTAGCAGGACGTGTAGAGTGTTACATCAGGTATTGAGATAAAAAAGAGAAACCAAACTAAACCCTCCTTGACAAAGCTTTCCCCCACCCCATCCCTGAAGAAAGAGGTGCCAGCAGCTCCGTGGAGCCCGTCAAGGGCTCTATTTTTCACATGGCAAGCAGGGAGAGACAGCAGTACAAATCCCCGTCAGAGAGAGCGATTAGCTGGGTAGAAGAGATCCTTCAGAGACCAAATGACCAAAAAAATGACCAGAAGCAGCAAGATGTTGCTGTGGAAAGGGGAGAGCTTTGTCTTGTTCAGAGCAAATGCATAAGGAATGATAAAATAAAGACAGGAAAAATGATAAGTGATCCAGGTTGTTTCTCACCCCATTTTTCATCATTCAGGGCAGCAATCACAATCACTTAAGCACAGAAACCTCTTATTTTACACAGTGCCCAATGGATCTGATGCTCTTAGTTTCACTGCTGTAAAACATCACCTAGACCACTGTCCAGAGAGCCTGAGGCCAGTGTCAGGTTTTTTTGTTCAGTGAGAGGTGCCAGAGCTATAAGCAATGATTTTTAATGAAATAAACACTAAAAAACCACCACCAGTGCGGAACACTTTTTATGTGTGGTCAGTAGGTCAAAACCCAAGGCCTGGGGCTCCCGGCAATGCTCTGTGAAGCTTTCAGTACTGACCATTCTGAGATGCTCATCAGGATGGAATGGTCTCATAGCTGTGGTTCTGGCGAGGCAGGGACATGATGGAGCTGTGCAAGGTGTGAGTTTCTGTCAGAAAATGCACAGCAGTGTCACAGTGCTGGCCATGGTCAGCTACACAGCTGAGTGACCAAACAGCAAAGCTGAACTTCCATTCAGGACTGGCTACAAAATGGGTAAAAAAAGATATTTATTAATTCTTTGATATGCCTAATGAAAAGTTTTTCAGATTATCTGGTTTTCTTTCATCCTGCCACATCTGGAGAGAAAGGGAAAAAGAACACATTTGCTCTGAAGGTGCACCTGGGTGCTTGCACATTGAGAGCTTAGCCCAAAAGCAGTCAGCCAAGGCCCTAGATTTCTACAGTTCTGAACAAGTGAATAAGTATTTCAGCTAACAGGTATAACAGCCAGTTAAAACAGAAACATTAGGCTGGCACCACCTTGGGTTTGGAGAATTTGAAATAGATGCTTATTTTTATATCACACATAACATCAAAGAGATGTGGTACTAGAGTGATGCAATACTACAGAGATGTGGCCCATTGGGCACAATCTTGGGTGACCAGAAGAGAAGTTGACATGTAAACTTGGAAAAATCCTACTTGTTCCTCTCCAGCTGCAGCTGTTGGATGATGAACTCCTGTTGCTTTAGATGGAATGTGATTCCCTGTCATTTGCTATGAGAGGGATTCCAAGCCTCTGCCTCTAATGCTTCTCTGGAAGTGGTTTGCTTTGCAGAAGATAAATTCAAAGTTTTGTGATGGAATTCAATTTAAAATACTTCCCATCCTTCAGCCAAGGCACCCAGCCCTCCCTCAGTCACGTCTAACCTCTCACAGCAGAAGCAATGACAGAAATAACAGAAATCTACTTCCTCATGGACCTTCTCTAAGCCTTGGTATTTAGGGACTTCTTGACAAGGAAACTGCTTCCAAAGTTTGTTGTTTAACAACATTAATGGATCTGTCCTTCAGGAAGTTAGTATGTCCACATTGGAACCCCATATTCATTTTGACTTGCACAGCATCCTCTGCCAAAGGGCTCCAAAGTTTAATTACAGACTTTGTAAAAAGACATTTCTCTCTGATTATTTTAAACTTGCTGCTTGATTATTTCATTAGGAACACATAACCTGTGATATGAGAAATAATGAATAATCATTCCCCATTTCACCTCATCCATTATTTCACAAACATGTATTATAACCCCACCAGTTCTCACATCTCATTTTTAGATCATGAATATAGCTATATTCAAGCTGTAAGCACACATTTTTTTCTTGCAGCCAAGGAAAAGTTACCTGTTTAAAAAAGAAAATAAACAAAATAAAACAAAATTTCAGGAATAACCCAATGAGAAAATAAACCACTTTTATTCAAATTATCAGGTGTTAATCATTCTTGGAATATAATTATAAACAGCTCCAATTCAGGATGGTGAATTTCTTCATTTAACCAACACTCAGTTGAAGGATACAAAAGAAATATTTGCTTATCTATTTAGAAGCTTAAAATGAAACAATGAGCAGATACTTTTTTGAGTTTAAAAATTAAATTTAACTCTTTCTTCAATAATAAAATATACTACCTATTATACAAAAAGGACATTATTTTATTCACAGTTGACAGAGCACAGTTGCACAATCATAATATTAAAGGTGAACTGCAATGACATTTTAATTATATTGTTCCTATTATTAAAGATTATGAGGGCTAGAGCAGCACACAAAGACCCTAATCAGGCTCCTGTTGTGTAAGGAGCTGCACATGCAGAGAAATATATAGTTCCTACCCCAAAAGGTTGCAATCTAATCTAAAACTGCCCACTAAGAGAGGATGTGCCTCAACTGAAAAACACAAGTATGCGAAGAGATTTATCCTGGCTTTCTTTCTTATCTGATGGAGACCCCCGGATACACAGTTACTTTTCACTGTCAGCCACTATAAAATGGTTGTTTACAAATAAATTACTTTTCTTTGAACCTTAGCAGGTCTGAGTTTAAAGGTAATTCCTGTTTTCTCCTTACAAGTTCCTGATCTTGCTTTTAGTCCTATAATTCAGGTGGTAGCCCTGAAGACATTAGGCATTTCTGAGATTAATGACATTTTGGAGGAGAAAATCCAGTCATCAGATTGGGTCTTGGCCTTTCAAATGAGCCATTTTTTTGCCTGTATAATGCCCTGAACAAGTACCATGTCTGACCACCATGTCATTGTTAACAGCTCAAATTTTGCTTTTGAATGTCAGTGCAGTTTTTAAGCAACTGTGGGTTAGTTGGGGCCATGCAAGTCTCTGCAGAGGTTGCTCACACAGTGGATAGGAAACTTATACATCTCTTAGGACTTCCAGACCAGTTCCTGCTATCCTCTCTCAGTAGAAGGACGGTAGCAAGTACAATGGCCTCCTCTTCCTCTCCTTCAACCTCAGACTCCCCAAAGTAACCAGGATCATGCCCCAAATGAGTCAGGATTTTGAAAGCGAGTGGGTTTGTGGGGAAAAAAAAAAAACAAAACACTTCTGTTCACCCCTAAATCTCACTATGCAACTTGGTTTTGATCTTCAGGCTTCAGAACTGAAAACATTCAGATTACAAAAATAAATCTATTGATCACTTGATTATAATTTTTCTAGGAAATACAGAGCAGGACCCTTCAATAAAAAGAAAAAAAAAAAAAAAAGAAAAGAAAGGAGCAAAGGGGGATTGCCATCATAGCTCCAAGAGTTTGCACAGATGAGGATCCATTCTACGAGCAGCTATTGGGAATTTGTTCACAACCTCTGAAAATACAGTCAGGAGCAGGAGCTGTCAGTTTTGCACTTGGAAAGAGGGTTGGGTTGGGGGTTGGGTTTTTTCACTCCCATTTCTTACAGTTAAAAATGCCCAGTAATTTCCATCACTAAACAACACAATACACTCCTGGTTTGTTTGAAACCCAAGGCTTAGACAACAGAGCGGCTTTGGAAATGAGGTGGCCTGACAGCTCAGTGCACTTAAGGGAACGTTTTTAGGCCATTTAGCAGTTTATTGCTCCAGCACAGGAGGCTTTGAGCGCTCAAGCACGACAGGGTGTGCATTGTTGTGCCAGAACTGCCCGCCCTGGGTGTGTGTGGTGTGCGGCAAAGGGCCAGGGGCTGTGTTTAAACGCACCCGCAGGAGAAATGCGATTTAGGCGGAACAAAGCACACTCCTGTTGTGCCTCCCCGTGATTATAAAATAGATCTGTGTCATTATAAATAGAAAATGACTGGTGACAAAGATGCTGCTTTGACTCGCCTCTGAGGCCAAGCTCCTTCGCTGCGGTTCCTGATGTCAGACCAATTTAGCGGCTGCGCTGCAGGCGAGTGTGTCTGGTTCGGGGTTAGCCAGTCCACGTCTCATGATGGCTTAATCTCATTTTATAACAGCAGGGGATTCACTGGGGTGCTTTGCAAGCAACATGCTCCTTCACCCAAGGACAGTCCTGGACGCCTTCCGAAACGCGCTCTGCCCGCTACACGGCTCAGATTGCTAAACAGCAAATTACCCTGTCCTCCCAGGGACTGTCAAACTTTCGGGATCTGTGAAGTTGAGATCCTGCTTCTACACAACTAAATGGTGTGGTTCTTGTTTATCTGAATGGGAACCAAATCAAAGACACAGAAATAATAGTACTCTTTCAAGAGTGTAAGGTTTCCTCTTTATGCCACCCTCCATCCCAACAAACTTCACAGCACTATTGAATTAAATAATGCAGCAAAATGAACAGAAAATATATACTTATATATAAAAATATATATGTATATACAGTTTCCATGTGGTAAAATAAGTAATTATAAAATAATAATAATTAAAAAATGGAAATTTAAAATTGATTCTTAAGTCCCTATTGCAATAACTGGAGTATGCTGTTCATTTAGTCCTAGGCATGCTCCTTAAAACAGTGATCTTTCTACTTCAATTATTTAATGAGAATCCCACTTCCATATATATTTTATACCACAGTTTATTCCCAAAGCTGGGGATAACCTCTCATTTCCTGAAAGCTCTTAAAAACTTTCCTAATGAAAAAGTAGAGAAATCTGCTGTTTGCAAATTCTATTTACTTACTGCTTACTTCCAAACTAAAGTAGTTCATTTAATGAAGAAGAAAAAAAAGAGAGAAAAAGAAAAAAACTAATGCAGTGCCTGTAGCCATTTCCCAAATTCTTCAGAGTTTATAGACCTAGGGAGACAGGGAAAGAGCAATTTCTCAGCAGTGCAGCAGAATAGGCTAAAATGACCCTGTGAAACCCAAGCAATTCTGGGAATTAAAGGATGTTCACTCCTGTTATGGTTCTACATTGAAAACTGCTTTTAGGGCTCCCAGTAGTACCCATTAGCAATAGCCAAGCTTTTCTGTTTTAATTTAATTTAATTTAATTTCCACCAACAAATTCCACCCTGTGGTGAGAATTGACAGTATCATGTTGAGAACCATTAAAGAATATTTGGATTGTTTTTACTCCATGTATATATATATAAAAAAAAAAAAAATCCCCCCACCCTTTCTTTAGACAAGCCACTTCGTAATAAGAGTGAGGTAGACACAATGGAGGCATCATTATGCTGTGGGATACCACCATAGGGAGTGTGGTTGGAGATACAGGGGAACATGCCTTGGCATTGCACTGCCAGCCTGGTCCCAGCTCCACTCTGAACCTCCCCATGAGACCAGAACAGAGCCTGGCAGCACCAGTCATGTTGCTCCAGTTCCCACCAGGGCAGAGCTGGTGTTCTTCTGCACTGAGGCCCTGTATATCACTGCTGCTTGCTTTTCTCCTTGAGTGCTTTCTGTTCTCTTAAGGACATCTTTGCAACTTGAAACATCTTCATGCTTATGTAGCCTTTGGCTTTGCTGGGAATTCCTATTGGGAATTCCCCCACTGGGAATTATGCCACAGGGTTTCAAAGGAAAGAGAATAATAATGCCCTTCATTAATATAGGCTTTTCTGTCATGACTTTTAGGCCTCTCTCCAGGCAAGCAGGCAAGCACATGTTTGACATTAAACACATGAGTAGTCTCTATTCACATGCTGCAAGCTAGAAATGCTCATTAGCGCTGGATCATGGCCCCAGCTGAGCTCTAACACACTCCAGCAAGGAAGCTGGGCTGGAGGAAAGGTGGCCCTGAAACCTTTCATCATGGTTGCACCAGCACTGGCAAAGCAGCTTGTACTCCTCCAGTGGGTGATGGGTCGTTCCCTTGGCAGCAGAGGCGAGACCTGCTGAGCTGTGACAATGTCATCATTCAGAGCTGCTTAGCTGATGAGCACAGCTCAAACACCGCACATTCAAAACCATCCTCTGGAGTATTTGCAGCATTAGCATCTCTCCAATGAATGCTGAAAGGGGAATGATTTGGGGCAACAGAGTTGTAACATGATTGCTGAGGTCTCTGAGAGGCTGCTGAGCCCTGTGTGGAGAGTGCCTGAGGGGTCACAGGGCTCTTCAGGCCTTTATGTCACATGTTAAAACACAGACTGATCAAGCTTTGGAAACCAGCGCTGGATGGGATCTCTGGGCTTTCCTGGGGCCAAGTGTTGCTTGGGATGTGGGGAAAGGCAATAAAGCAGCTCAGTGCTCTCTGCTTTCCCTGAACATGAGCCAGAAGGGGAGAAAAGGGAACAGGCACCCTCTTTGATGCTGAGCACCAAGTGAGTGGGCTGTCATAGTTCAGTGTCCAAACCAGCAGATCCTTCCTGACCAAGGAAATGGGAAGTTTTGTGACTCAGAGGGAACATGTCTACTATCTCAGAGAAATCCCTAGGCAAAGCTACCTTCATGGTGCCTTGCTCATGCTTCTGCTGAAATTCATAATCCAGACTAAACAGTCTATCACTCTTAGATAAAGTATCCCAGATGGAAAGACCCATTTTTAAAAATGCTTTTAATACTGTTTTCTCCAGAAAAAAAAAAAAAATTACTACCTCCTTCAAAATCTCAACAAGTATAAACCTCACAGCATTCCTGCCACCTCTGGAATTACCAGGTCATTGCAGACATCAAAATGAATGAAGAGATGAAAGATTCAGCAAAAAGGCAAAACCTTACTGGAAAAATATTTCTTAATATCAAAAGCAATCCAAGAATAATGAATATATCTAGAAGAGTAATAAACAAATGCAAACTTCCTGATGCTTGAAAGAATACACATGAAGGAAGACACAAGACTTTGGGGATATTTTTTTTCTTTAGAACATCAATCCATTAAAAAAAAATAATGCTTCTATGTGCTTCTGGCTTTACAGGAGTGTGACTTCACTGGCTAAATTTTTGCAATACTTTAAACTCAGTTAATTAGCCAAACTCAGTCGATGCAGAAAGGGGGTTTCATCCCACCAGACGGAAGGGTTACACTAAAACAGTTCCCTGTGTGCCTGTCCTTGAGCACTCTGCTACTTAGCACTGAGGAAGTGGTTGTGGCTAACTTGGAGCTGGATTTGAGCAGGAACAAGAGAGGAGGAAAGGTAGCTGGGGTTAAAACAAAATAAATAAATATTCAAAATAAATGCTATGTGCATTTCAGCTGAACTTTCTTGTAGGATAAACAACTTTGTCTAATTTCTTTGTGATATAGACTGTCATTCCCTGCTGGGCAGTGGCTTTTTAGCTGGTGCAAACAGAGCTCTATATTCCACACTAGACCTGATAAAGCAATATCGTTATGTGATTTCTATTGGAAAAAAATTGTTTCTCAGAAGCCCTCATTTAAATAGACTTGAAAAGATACTCTCTAGTCCTACCTGTACAGCAAAATGACCTCTTGGCAATTCAAACAGCCTAACAGAGAGTAAGAGTAACTAATCTATGGGATTCTACAGCACTCCCATACCACTGCTAATAGAAGGAAAATCAATATTAGTTCCAATATGAATGGAGTGTCGGATTGACTGAGCAGGGAGCTTTGAAATAAATATCTGAGAAATGTTTGGATGAAATGGACATCTTCACAGACATTTGGTCTGCATTTTTGAAATGCAGATGATTAAATCCACATTGTTGGCTTCTTCCCCCTCTGCACTATGTCTTTCTTTACATCTTGCAAAAAATTTATGAACAAAGTTATTGTAAATCTGCAATGTCTGTCTTGTCACTTAGATTCTTTTCAGAAATGCTGCCTTGCCAATGTAGATATACAATCCTGTATGATTAATATTTATTACTTATAATTCTAAATACAATGGAAGGTCACCAAAAATACCCTGCTAAAGGAGTCTGGAGCCCTTTAAAATCTCATTGGTGATGGATCCTGAGTTTTGAGAACTGAGCTCAAAATCTTAGCAAAACACTTTTCTATGTAGGATTTCCAGTATTTCCTGCTTCTGACTGTAAAAGCCAAAAAGCATAAAGGTGAGCGAAAGTTACAGATCTGAAAACATGAACTTGGATTTCAAACTCAAACAAAGGTCAGGGAATGCCTGAACCTGTCCATAATCTTGTATCAGCCTATAATAGAATTATGAGTAAAATGCAAAGTTAGGATGCAGAGTGAGACCTGAATTCTGGCAGAACAGGCATGGGAGCTGAAAATTGCTCCATTTTCCTCTTATTCTTTCTCATATCCATAGTTACATCTTATCTAGACATTTAGGAGGTATTGTTAGGAAAATGAAGATATATAAAGATTTTTGTTGTTGTTGTTAATAATTAGAAAGAAGGTAGCTTGGAGATTTTTAGATTTTATAATTAAATCTTAAAAAGTTTTTAAAAGCATGCGAATAATCTTAGTGCTCATTGCACTTATAGCTCATTTTCTTTTTGGTGTAAGCCCAACCATTTTAAACATACTTTTTCAAAAACAGATGCAATTTGAGGTCACTAAGACCAACTGATTGTGATTTGGCCCTCATCTATGAAAACTACAGAAAGACATCTAAGAACGTTTCAGAACTACAGGATTCAGCACACTGGTGAAGACTGAGACATGGAAATCAGGGCAGACCCTGGTTTGCTTACCCTGCCTGAGATCTGCTGCATGTTTGGACAGTTTTCTTTTAGGAGGTAAATATAATAAGCAGAGAGAAAGAATCTGCATCCGCCTCTGTGTCTTTTATTCAAAGATTCCCTGCAACTGTGATTAAGCAAAGCTACTGATTGAAGTACAAACCTGAGAAAAATGTAGTTTCTGTCGATCAACATGCTTCAAATCACACTGGAAGTAAAGAAATCCCTGTGATCATTGGTCAGATAGAAGACTTTTCACTTGGAACAATTTTGCAGAGCTTTGCTAATAACAGTTTTCTAAACTGACTGAGCCATCTTGACCTGCACCATGAGTAAAAACAAAACCAGAAAGACAGACAGAAAGGACCAACTCAATTAAGATAAATAAATAAATAAATAATTGCAGAAATAAAAGGGAAAAAAAAAGAAAATAATATCACAAATAATAATTCTAATCTCATGAAGAAATGTTTTTAACAAGCCATATGTGCTTGTGCAGACACTTCTAATCTCATTAGATTTTTCTGGCTGCTATTAGTGTTCTCTGAGCCAGCTGATTTCTCAGCAATATTTTAAAGAGTGAGAGCCTTTGCCCTCCTGTCTAGCCACTGATAAGACAGCCTGTTCTAGGAGAAGACTTGGGAGTTCATGGATTTTTCTTACAAGGTTTTGAAAGTTTAGAACAAATTGACCATTGCATGAGAAACAATAGTCAACCACAAACTATCTTCACAGTTAATGAGTAACATTCTGCTCCCAGCTGTGTGAAAAGTGGGATAATCCCACCAAAGCAACAGGATGGTTTCAGATTGTCATCAGCATCACACGGCAGAGGCTGGCACTCGATGCTGTCTCCACTCCTCCAGCCCTCTGGCTGCAAACAAGCCTGCTGTAAAGTTCCCCTTGGTCACAGCTCACCGGTGTGAGGTTCCCCTCAAATCAGTGCAGCTCTAGCAGCTCTGATCAGAAGGGGAGCCACATCAGGTTAGAGCTCAGTTTTATTTTATCTTTTAAAACAGCAGTCAATCCCCCCAGTCTGAAAAATCATGAGCCATGTGCACTGCTGTACATATTGGGGCACATGAGTTTCAAGTAAAAGAGCTGTCATTCTGAATTTGCTAAAGGAACGTGCAAATAATCACTAGTATAAAGCAGATGTGCCAGGCAGGAACTACAGACAGAACAAAATAATCACTGTTAGAAAACAATTTCTAATTCAGAATCATGGAACCTGGATCGGTAAACCCTGGATGAACGGGACTGAGGCATCTTGCATGGATTTCTGCTGGCACACTTGCTGAATTTCTGGCTGGAAACGTGCCTCTCACTGTTTCAGCCTGCCCTCTTTGAGGCTCTCAGAGCAAACTTCTGGGGTGAGATGATGAGCGCTTGAAAGTGACCCATCTGGAGCCCAAGGCGAAGAAAGCGCTTCCCCTGCCTGGAATTCGTGTGCAGCGACAGCTTTCTACTGCTGATCCAAGTTTCCCAAGATAGCAATTATAAAGGAACTGGCAGCCATACAGTCAAGACGACAATATCCTACGTGGTTTGGTTAGCTGTGCCAATTCCCTCTGTGGGTGCTGGAGTCAATCTGCTGCCCCCGTTATTGCTGTGTCTGTCTGTCTCTACCAACCAGCAGATCCACTGGGCATTTTGGCACGAGCCCCGCTCTTCCAAGGGCTGCCTGCTCAATTGCTCATTCACTCTCTTTTGCTTTAAACATTTGGATCCAACAACACCATGCAAATTTTATGCAGAGTAGCATCTGCAAGTCTGACATATTCGCTCAGGCTTCCCCCTCTTACACCAAGTTAAAAATAAATACCCTATAAACTCTTGGGCCTGCTAAGACAGAATATGCATTCAGAGAGTTTATTTAAATATAACTACTAAGAGTATTTCCGCTTTAGGGTCAAGCTCCTATTTGTCCCCCCTCTCTCTTGTATTTTGTTCATGCCTCAAGATCTCAATACCACTGGGGGCAAAAGCATCCTTGAAATAACCTACAGAAGAACCAGTTCTATGTGTTCCTAACTCTCTTATCTGAAATTTCAGCTAACATCTTATTTTTAAAACTCTAAAGACTACAGGTGGTGATATACCCCCCACATGAAACAAGGAAGTTGTAAAGACTCATTTCCAATACTGATTGCAAATAATACTAGTTGAGCCAGACCTTAGGTTAGACTTCAAAGGGTCTCCACCCACCCCACCAGAGCTGCCTTCTCTTTTCTCCAGGGAGAAGCAGATTTGTCCCTGACCAATACACTTGGAACAGGTGAAGTCATAGGGATGCCAACCAGACAGCATAACAATAAAGTATATCTTAAGGCAACAAGGAGAAGAGTCTGTAGAAGGGGATACTGAGCCACCACAGAGGTCAGTTAGGACTTGCTGAGCCGCTTGGCCACGTCTGCATAGGCTTGCTCAATTTCCTTGTCTGCTGCACAGGTGTTGGTGAACTCATCCCTGGCATAGGCGTTCTTCAGGTACCGCCACAGCCCCGTCATCTCTGTCGGGAACTCAAAGTTGCGGTATTTCTTTGCAACGATCTAAAACGGAGACAAAAGGGGGGAATAAACCATCTTGCTCGTGATATATTTCTCCAGATTCCTTCCTAGAGAGCTTCGTAATCTCTCCTGCCGTAGAATTAATTGCAAATTAGAGAAATGCTTGGTGACTTAGAAAAGCCTGAGAAAAGATTTTTGGTTGTCCCTTATCTTGCAAAGACTCTACTTGGGCTAAGGACATTCTAAGTCAGTGACCGGGCTACTGCCAACATATTACTACTTTTATGGTGTACCTGAAATTCATTAATTTTACCAGATTGAGTTTTGGGGGGATTTGTTACCAGTTTTTAGTATATCACTTAAAGCTGAGATGCCACATAAGAAAGAGCCGAATTATAAAAACAATGATTTAAGAGAAAAGCATTAGTAAAAATTATGTTTTTCATATTAATATTTATATTTAAAATTACTTTATATATATACTTTATTTTAATTTTTAATATATGTAATATATTTTGCCTGGCCAATGGTGTCAGAGGATGTAACCACCTACAGCTGTTGGAAGGCTCTATCCCTGTTCACGAAAAGGAAAAATTCAGGGTGGTATGGGTACCATGATTAGGAAACCAACATGATTTAGCAGATATTAGAAACAGGAGCACTGAGATGAACTGGGTGAGAAAATGGTTATTTCAAGACTTGTTAGACTAGGAAATTGTCTATCAAGGGAAATTTTAGATTTCTAAAAACACTTAGGCTCTTTTTCAGGAAAATAGTTAAGTGCATACTTAATTTTAAGCACCTGTACAGTCCCACTGAAGTCAATGGGATTAATCTGTACTTATAGCTAGTTGGTTAAGTACCTTGCTGGATTGGGATATTTCAGTTTCCCTTATATAGAATAAGCCTGTGGTGACAGAGTGAACTAGTTGATAGGAAGGGAGGGATTAGCTAATTTAATGAGTGCTTCCAATCTCTAGTTTTTCTGACAGTATAAAATTGTTCCTGGGCATAAATTACATACATATGTGCCACAGAGTTCCCCTTCATTTCTAAAGCACATGGTAGAGCTGTTTTCCATCTCAAATTTCTTAGGACAGTCATGTTCTCAGAAATTACTGTGATTTGTTTTTATTACCAGGATTCACTTGGTATATGCAAGTCAAAATCCTGTCCTAAACTGCATTTAATTAAGCATTCTTGCCTTCAGCGATGCTTTACACACATATGGGGAAGATAAAACCTGCTGAGAAACTTAAGATTTTCAAAATTTCCAGCACACATCTTCCATCAAATGAAAAAATAATTTACCCTTTTCTTCTATCTGTAAAATGTTTTTTCAGGCAATATCCTATGGCGATGCTTGTCTGAGAAAAATTTTAATTCTTTTTGGACATCTTTCATTTCATCCCAAGGAGACAAGAACCAGTAAGGGGCCATACATTCATTTTGCATTGTCTGACTTCAATGTCATCACTGAAGACAAGCCAAAGAAAGTGCTAAACCTGTGAGGATATTATCACATTTCTTACCTGGTGACTTATGCACTTTTTTAATTTACTTTTTTTTTTTTCTGCATGTGTGCAGTCAGCTCCCAGGCTCAGTTTATGTTTTGGCTCATGGAGCCAAATTAGATGCATGACTTGGCTTTAATTCCTAGCTCACTTGCTTGCCAGGGTCTGCCAGGTACTTGCGTTATTCTAAAGCAACATGTCATCTGATAAATTAAATAAATACAACATTTAGAAGTCAAGATGATGTACACCATTTGCACTGTACCAGCGACCATAGTACATCTTAAATCCTGGACCTCTGCAGTGACTTTGATTTGTTAACTTCTCTGTGTGAAACACCAGATGGAATAAATATTCCCCAAAAAGATGGACTACTGCTCTTAAGTTACAAATGGGTGGGAACTGCCTAAAGTTTTGACAAGTCTCTTAAGAATACTAGGAACTAATTAATAGGCAAGACTGCTGTTACTTGCAGCAGGGTAAAAATAAAGAGACGAGATAGAACTTAATATTGTTTTTGCCACTAATCAGTGATGGGACAGTTTTCCCACGTGCTAAATACAAAGTTCCCTTAGTTAAATTATAGGAAACACTGAGGAACAAAAGCATGTTTCAAACTGCTCTCCTAAGACTTCAGATCTCTCTGCTGAAATACGAGCTGGCTTTAGCACTCAGCTGCCAGAGCAGGGCACATCACTGTCAGACAAGGCTTCTCGGACCATCGCATGACATCTTTCACCTTGACAACATGGAGTTTGGGCAGAAGGTTGCAGTCAGCAAGAGTCAGGTCATCTCCATCCAGAAACTTGCGTTTGGACACTTTCTCCTCTTCAGTGCTGTTTGCGTCGATCTCCTCTGGCAGAGGGGTTCTCAGGTAGTCATCGAGCTTCTTCAGAGCCTTCACCAAGCCTCTTTCAAGAGCTTTCCCAAAAAAGCAAAGAATAAGCGATTAGGGCAGAGTAAGAATTGTTTATAAACACTCATTGTCAATGGCTATGGTCGTATCTAGAAAAAAAAAGCCAAGAACCACCTCTTTGTTGTTAATTTGTGCTCCAAAGCCTACACAATCTTATGACAAAGTAGCCCAGCAAGGTCTGCCTGAGGGTAAAGCTCATCCTGCAATGGGAAAAAGGGACACAGGAGCCTGTTGTGCCGTGTCTTCTCCTGACTAGAAAAACAACAAAAAAGCAGTGAAAGCAATGCCAGAAGGAAAGAACAGCTTATCAGTATGATATACCAATTAAACACCTACAATCTAAGATATTCTTCTGGTCTGTAGAGGCCATCACACAGTAAACTGAGGCCCTGTACTCTGCTACTTTATTCAACTAAGCAGCCACATATGACTGCAATGAAGCTGAATTTTCTAGCATTACTTATTACTTAAGAAGTCTTAGTTTTACTTCTTCCAACTCCCTTCCAGAGTAATTAAAGGCAATAGCAGTAATTCCAAAGATGCTAACTAGAGCTCTATGGAGCTGAAGAATACACTACAACTGAGATGGGATATACTCAGCCAGGGTTAAGATTCACATTTACCTCAGGTTTGACCTCAGGTGCAAATACTCCCTTTGAGATGTCTCAAATAGGGTGTTACAATGAAGAGGAGACTTCAGAACAGTTACTAAAGACCATGTCCCACAATGCTGCTGGCTCAACAAATTCCAGTTTTTAAATAACACTTAGACCTCTACAGCAGAGTGCAAATTTTTCACCCAGGCACAGAATTTGTGTTCTTATGCTTCACTTGCAGGATAATACAAAAACTTGATTGCAATAATGCACTTACACAAAGCTGGATAACTCTAAGCAGGTTTATGTGTTACTTAAACTGCAAACACTCTGGGGCAAGAAAGGTCTTTTGCCTTTCAGTTTGAAGGGTGACAAGCACAGGGAGTCCTGGTTCCCAACAAGTGCCCCAAAGTGCTAAAGCAACATAAATAAGAAACAGCAAGAATTTACAATGTGAAAAAATAACAACATGACTCATGGGCTCAGAGCCAGAATTTCAGCTGGTGAAAATTACCTGCAGTGATTTATACCTGCTGCAGATCTGGCCTGGAGTCAGAATTAAAATCCTAATCCTGTAAAATCTTACATCTCTGAGTAACTTACTGCCACTGAATTTAGGAGAGTCTACTCAATGGGTGAAGTTACTCAGGTAGTGTAGCAGTATGGAGAGAAAGTACAAGGAGCAATGGGTTTAAACTAAAAGGGGTTAATTTGTTTAGTTTATATAGAAGAAATTCATTACTGTGAGGTGATGAGGCATTCAAACATGTTGGCCAGGGAAGCTGTGGATGCCCCATTCCTGGCAATGTTCAAGACCAGGCTGGATGGGGCTTGGGGCAACCTGGGCTAGTGGGAAATGTCCACGGCATGGGATTTGGAACTACATGATCTTTAAGGCCCTTTGCAACCCAAACCACCCTGATTTTAAATATAATTATGGAGCACAACAGAAGCTTGAAAGGGCTGCAGCAATCACCCTTCACAGAGAAGCTTGCTGGCACAGGTAGCTCTACAGGCTCTGCTCTCAGCCACCCCTGTATTTTTGGCATGGAGAGAAAGGCAGCATGTCCAGGGCCACTGAGAGAGCAGGAGCTGAACACCACAGAACAGGATTTCTCTGCTGCCCTAACATCCATTAAACCTGTGCCAGCAGTGGAAGTCAGATTAAGCTGCCTGATGCCTTGTTCCCACTGAAGCCTCTTGGCCCAGCACCAGGGAACCATACCAGCTCTTTTGTGGCTGACTCTGAGACACAGTGGCAAACCCTGGCTTAATTGATTGACTGGAGAAATGACTGTGATCCAACTGAAAACACCCCCACAAACATAGCAGGGAGGGAAAGAATTTTATTTCTGAAAGCAGAGCATCTAAAGCGACTGAAGTGCTGCCATCCATAAAACAAAAGTGTTGCCATCCCTCATTTAATCAATTCAAATTGAATTTTGACACTGACATTCTGCTGTCAGATGCTGGCAGTGGTGCCTTTAATCGCCTGCAGCTGTACTGAATCGCACAACTTCTACTGGAGGGTAGTAACTTGTAGTGTGTCATTTACCCCCATGTGGCAACACTCAAAAGATTTAGCAATCTCTTTTTGGTTTGACCTATAACACCTGTTGAATAGATAGTTCTCCTTCTCTTGGTCAGCCTCAGACTGTGTCCTCTTACAGTGCATTCATATCGAGACAATAGACTTGAATTACTGTGATTTAATTCAATTTTGCTCATCCAGATTTTATAGTACTGGCTTACTGCTGAGCATTTTCCTGTATTTCCTTCACCCAGTAGGATTGTTGGTTCTCCAAGTCATTTGAGCAGTGTTCCAGCATCAGAAGGACATAAGATGCTTTGTGTTAGCCTGTGGGGTGAGCCAGGTGTGTGTCTGGAGACAGGAGCAGCAGGTGAGATGTGTTTATGTAACTCTGCTGGAACTTATTAGGGTTTGGGTTTATTTCTTTGCTCTTTCTGCTATATCAAAGTGCGTCATGGCTGTCCCAAAAACAATGCCTGGAGTGAAGCCTGTTTGTGACACTGGGAAAAACTTCTATCTGAATTCATGCTTGGCCCTTGCATACGGCAGCTTTAGGCCAGAAATAAGCATATGTTCAGGGTTCAGTACATCTGTGACCTAATTCACAGGCTCTGCTGGAACCCACAGGATCCTGACATCCCCCTGGGAAATGAACCCACAGTATCCTGACATCTCACTGGGAAATTAACACACAGCATCCTGACGTCTCACAGGGAAACCACCACATGGTCAAGACAATCTTATATCCTGATAGTCAAGAACTGGACCACTACTTATGACACCAATGACCCCATTTATTTAACTAGAACTCTTCTGATCCTAATAAATCTTTCAGAACAGCCAGGAAAACAGAAGAGTACTGAAAAAGGGAGGACTGATCTTCTTCCAATTAAATAGTGACAGAATTTTGAAAACTAAGAGAATTAAGATCCTAAAATTGCAATATCAAATGTTTTTTAGGTGCACAAGATCAGATTTTTAAAGCCTGTTGATGGTTTTCAAGGCATTTTTTGAAATCCATATGCAAATATCCATGTTGCAAATCCTACTTTCTAGGTGTCCTGACACATTCAGATTTATCTGTATGATTTGAAGTCTTATGATCCTTGAGAAGGTACTCAGGGAAATCCCCACTCAAAGTAGGAGGATATGTAAAAGAATTTAATTTTCTCTCTTACCTGGTAGATATTTAACCTTTATGTGAAAGGTGAAAAAATGAGAACAGAGACCAGGGAAAGAAATAACACCTTCAGTATATCCTATAGCTTGTTGAATGTTCTGGGACTTTTGCTGGGGAAAGAGCTGTCTGGGTTCATATTACTGAGCAAACTCAGCAGAAGATTTTATTTCAAACCTCCCATACTATGGCTATTTCATGAAAATCTGGATGACTGTATACATTGTCTCCACTTAGAGCACAGGGGAGAGGATGCACTCACCAGGGCAGAGGTCATATAAATACCATTCACAGCACTAGACTGGATGAAGATGTTTAAAAAGGTGTGACTAACTAAAAAATTACTAATTCCCCATTTGTGAAAGTACCACCCACAATGAAGTGGTTAAGCACCTAATTCCCTTGGCAACTTATCCTCTGGGAAATATCATTAAATAACTAAATAGGTTTGCTGATAACAGCCTATAGGTGGGAATAATCTTCCCTGAATTAGTAAATTAAATAAATTTGAATTAAGCACCCTGAGCTTCCTCTGTGTTCAGTGGAGTCTTCTTGTCTACACTTGGTTTCAGTGACCCCTAAATCAGCTTCGAGGAGAACCTTTCCTGAAGTGTCTAATTTCACCCTCGCACTGTCTTGGTAACTTCAGGGTGGAGGATTCGGTATTACACCACCAAGTGGAACTGTGTCTGGGAATGTGGCTCTGTGCTGCTTTTGAAATTTCTACCTCCAGTTACTTCCCCACCCTGCAGACTTCCAGTGTATGAACTTAGAGATCCCAAATGTGACCATTTCTGAGAGAGGAACCCTGTCATCAGCTTATCCATCAACAGCTGAAATGTCTGGACTCCTGGAGACCATCTTTCTTGACAGTGAAATTGCCAAGCACAAAGGCTCCAGCATCATATTGCCCCCACAGGGATACATTTAATATAACTTCGAATTCCAAGAAGTTCTACCCGTGTATGCACAAAATCCATGGTGGAGCCATCTCTCTCAGCCTTCACTACTTCACTCTGCGCTCCTTATGCAGCCAAAGACAACTTAGAGCAGTCACAGTCCTGCCCTGTCATCCCACCAATAGTAAACAACTATATTAATAAAAAAAACCTTATGAGCTCTTTGTCATTTTCCTTCTCCCTTCAAGACTACGCTTTTAAACAACTATATTTAAGAATCCAGAGTTAGAAGCCAGAAAAATAGCACTTTCCAACCTCAAAGCAACCACAGAACACTTAATGAATGTATTACCATCTGTCAAATGCACAGGGTGAGGTTCAATTTAGTTGATGATACCTAATTCAGAATGACATTCCGTTTTCAGCAAAAGGTTGCTTGATGTTGAACAATGAGATTAACAAATTCTGACATGCACAGAAATACAAATAACGTAACAAAAGTTAATAATTGGCAAAATTGTGCTCTCGGTTACACTGACATAAAAGAAGAGTAACTCTGCATTGTCAACAATCTATTCCATATTTACTCCAGTTCAACCAAGAACAGACTTTGGCTCTGTTACTCAACTCTTCAAGCGAAAACTTCCTTAAACTATTAGCCTGTGCAACTGTTTCCAGGGGACAGAGCGAAATCTTTGTCTCTTGTAAGTGCAAACATTAGAAAATGTAATGCCAGGAGCAATCCTGCAAGTCAAGTGGTCGTCCACACGACAAAGATTCCTTAGTAGGTACTCAGGGTGAA